CTTGAGCTTTTCCTGGGCTCCAAATATCCCTCCGTACCTTCCTTGATAAATTTTTCATACGGATTACCAGCCCATTTGACATTTCTTATTTGTCCAGAACGGAAAAAAACAATAAAGTCATCCCCTTCTGAGCTTAATGGCACTAAAAGTAAACCTGCAATGACGTTGAATCCTGGGGCGTATCTAAGATCAGGAAAGTCTTGTTTGATATCTTGCGAGGTCATCACAGTTTTTAGCTTACGCATTCGCATATACTCCAGCATAGCAAGTGCCTCATGCGATTGGTCGACTTTGCCCAATATTTTTGTCTCTCCTTGGATCGAGAGAAGGCCAAAGTCAGCATCGAACAATTTTAAAAGGTCGTCAGATGATGCTATAATGTAACCAGAAGGATTAGCTTCTGTTGGTGCAGTGTTGATAAGCTTGCGAGCTTGGAGTCGTGAAGCGTATGATAATCTCTCAATATTCCTTGATGCAGTATCACCGACAAGCCGGCACATCTTTCGAATGGGGAAAGACACTCGCATTCCTTTCGCACCGTATGTGTGGCAAGCAATCAGGCCCCACAATTCGCCGAAAGCATTTATAGAAATAGACATTGAGGATCGTACTGCCATATTCGCGAGATATTTGATATGGATAGGTGACATGGCTCGCTACGAGTTATTAGTAGAGATTGGTGGATGTTTGGTTTAAGACTGTCGAGGTCTGGTGGTGAACTTACAAGATAAGCATATGACAGGTCAAGAGGTTTCTCAAGCTCCTCGATGCCACGGCAAACGAGTCGTGCCGTTTCTAGATCCCTGTCATAAAGAAGTCGGACTTTGTTGATTTTGTATAATTCTCGAGCTTGCTTTGGAATATCTGACGCTGGGAAATTAAGTCCTTTATAAAGGTCCTTGGTCGCTCGGGGGTCAACAAGCTCTGTAACCACCCGGCCATTATATGAAGCATCAAATTGGTAAATCATTACTCGATGGAAACCTGTCAATTCTTTAACCACGCCTACAAGAATTTTTAGAAAGAGCTCTAAATTTGGCGCAGTGGCGAGCTGTTCTTGCACCTGAGACATGATGTTAAAGACCTCCATAGCTGCGGCTTCGCCTTTACGCTTGCGAGCATTCCTCAGTACCCGAAGTGGTTTGCTTGTATTAATCGTACTCTCATCAAACTCCTCCTTTGTTGGATTACTGTTGAGCGTGTCCTCTGGGGGTTCTGGCGTATCCTCCTGTTCGGGCACCAGAGGGTATATTTGGTCATCGTCAAGTTCAAACTCACAAATGATCATTTCTGGGTCAACAGGGTTTATGTGCATAGCTACCCATAGTTTCCTAGATTTGCGAGTTTTGGGATGCCGAATCGAGACGGTGAAAACTTCTGGGCCGTTTGATGCAGGATCGGCATCATCATCGCGGATAAAGTCAATATGATCAAGAAGGTTTTCCTAATATAATAAGTAAAAGTTCTCAAAATGGGTTCGCCTAAATGACTCACCTGCTGTTCCTCGCTCAAAATGTCCAGGAAGCTATTTAATCGAAAAAGCTCTTGGGGAGTATATCCAATCATGCGTTGAGAATTCTCACTGACAATGCGAACCAAAAGCTGGTCATCGTCGTGTTCTGATAATGCAATTAGTAAACCAAAGCCTTGAACAGCCCCAGGAATGTGGATCGGTTCATCCTCGCATGTTTGCAAGACATCTCCATCACGGCCAGTAATGATGGCATGCCCTTCCGAAGTCACAATATGCTTGAATCTAGCGGTTACTAGCCCGCCAACGCCATCATCTTCGCCAGCCGACAGATTCCCCATCGATGATGCATCTCCTGTACCTCTTGCGCTAGAAGCATGTGTAGTAGCAGATCTATCGGATGTATTGTCGAGAAATTGTTGCAAGCGACTGCCTCTGTAATCACTGCGACTTGTGGAAGTGGAGGACTTGCGATCTGCTCTTCTTGGGTCCGGGCCAGATTCCGTCTGACTTCTTTGCCGAGGGGTTGTTTTTCCATCTGAATCTGTAACACTTCTCCTACCTCCATCTTTACTTGTCACACTCGAAGGGCGTGGAAAGTAGTCATTCATTTCACTGGCAGCAGAGCCTCTAGCTGAAAACGTATATGGCGTCTGTGTAGTATCGACACTCACGACACTTCTGATTGGAAATACTCTATCGTTGGTAGATGATGCCGGGCTACCAAGTTGCTTGTCTGAGTTGGCGCTCCACGATGATACTCCTTGAGCAGATGAAGCTGAATAGCCCTTGGGGATGTCGGATGCCCATAATCGTGGCTTTGAGGTTGGGGAAATGGGGACTGGTGTGGTGCCACCTCTATTTCGCGCCCGAGATGAGGACCGGGAAACATCTCCCATTGATGGAATATCGACGTCCTTTGGTAACTGGGCATTATCGACAGAATCCGGCAGCATTGCAAGGAGTTCTTTGACCTTGACAGTTTCCGCCTCTAATGGGGTGACCAGTTCGTGCCCAGACTTTTCCGTACAAAGCTATTTCTATTTATTCTGGTAGAAAGAGTGTTTGATCGTAACCAGCCTTTCGCACCCTCATGTATTTATCTTCGTCTTGTCCGTATATGCATCGAGAGATGTTCGCACAATCGTTTGCAAGATATAATCTTTCCTTACAACATAAGGAATAGCTGCCGTTTGATTCGTTCCAGTTCGAAGCCAGATAGATTTGCTAAGCAAAGTGAATGAAACTAGTTGATATAGAGTGTTCCTTTTGAAGTCAGTGATCAGAGGATCATGTATTATATTGACAAAGTAAACAATCTCGATATTGATAGAGAGCGAAATTAAGGAACGATGGAGGGATTGTGTTGATTGATGGAGTTTTACGTTTTTGAAGAGGATGGGATTATCTTGAAGTCGATTCTGAATGTAGGTGAAAGTCGTCACTCGTTCCTCCTCGCGTCAGCGCAAGTTTGATTGAAGGTCGAAATTGAAGTTGTGAATGTTCGAATAATCGAATAATCGAATATTCGCCTAGGGAACGAAGAGAACGATCCACATAGGTACATACAGAGGTCAGTGGTCAGTGGTTCACTTGATCACATCAATTTGTGGTTGGGTTGGGGCGAGACCGGAAGTGGCGAATGAGATGAATTATGTGGGTTTTTGAGTATTAGATATTAGATAAGATCGAATTTAATCATTTTTTATGGGATTTACGGAGGGGCCACCATTGAAACCCATGATTTTAATTGGTACTACTCCGTAATTTATGAAAATCCTATTTTGCCTTGAAATCTGAAATTTTCCCCCAAGTTCTCCAATTACTGTTTATATCCAGGCGGAGACAAGTCCACTTTTTGGTAGCTATATGTACCTAGGTACTTTGCTGTACGAGGTACAATTTCTATCAGAGCATTCCGTGAGCACTGAGCACCAATTGTCTATTCTGTACCCAGTGGATTGACATGTAGTACCTCGTAACTCAAGGAATGAATTTTAGTCTTAAATACAGCTAGAACTAACTATGATGTTACATTCACGAAAAAGACATATACTTCCTTCCACCTTAAAGTCAGTAAACTCAAAAGCCACAGTTGTACTAGAAGAGAAAATTTCCAAGCCATCTCCAAGTGGCTGATATCCCTGCTCTTAGGAATATCGTAGTTCCAAGAATTCATCATTCGTTCCCAATACCGTGTATGATCTTCAAAAGATCAGCGATAGCCCTAGACATGATTCCCGCCTTGAACGGAAGAAAAGCGTACGGTACTCAGATAGAAGGACGTACTACCTAGTAGTCTCGGTGAAAGTGTATCTCCGTAGTAAGCTACCTACCTAGTTCCTATGGGTTAAAAAAGTCAGATACCAATTTGACAGGGGTAGTAATATTAGTAAGCCTTTCTATTTCCATAGTCATACTCTCGTGCAGACTTGATATCTAATCAACTATGTACTCTACTACTAGCCATCTACTCCCTACTAAAAACTCGTATGTCAGATATCTCTCTTATGGAAATCTTTCCTCAGCTCTGCACTTCAAAACTGGAGAATCGCTGGGAATATTTGATAATTATAGCATGAAGATCCTCGACGGCCCCACTTGAGGTACATTGTTTCAAATCTGGTTTGCTTCTTCAGTACGGAGTATGGAGAAAGTCCCTTTGTCGATCAAAAGTGATCGTACGACTGAGTTTTTATCACAAGCACTGATACAAATAAATCAAGCCACTCATGATCCACCCTCTCTTATCAGCTATGATGTTTCATTCGACTTTTTGATATCAAAGAACGGACTGTAAATCAATACTCCGTACCTAGGTAGGTTATGATGTAAAGTATTATCTTCACCAGTAGAGTAGACCAGTCGGAATACTTCAATCTAAAGTTTAATACAGCCTCAGAAAATATCAACCTCACACACCTACCTACAGAATACTACCAGCTTACGATACCGAGAGTCAGGGTTTCGGGAGGTTCCAAGAATGCACTACATCATCACATTTAGATTTCTCCGGGAAAGAAAAGTATAACAGTAGGAGTCCAAGCATGAAAGTATCTAAAGTGACAAATGCTTCATGGAGATGATTCGTTTTCGTATGATTACAAACATTTAACGTACGTATAAATATTACCACTACGGAGCATTTTATCCGTCATTTGATACTGGACAATGACTAGAAAGAAACTTCTATCTTTCCGTAATTATACCACTATATTTACTAAGAATACTATCTAGGTAAATCTCAATAGATTTATCTCACAAATCTACCAACTTTATTTTACAATCAAAGTATTTTAGTTGAAATTACCATACATACAGACATACATACGGAAACAAATGTTTCGGCCCGCTTAGGTTCTACCCGCTTTTAGATACCTACCAAGCATCCATCATAATACTCGCCACAGTTCACAGTTCACAGTTCAAAAAAACACTTTCTTCATAAAAACCATCAAAAAGTCAATTGTAAATCCTTTCGCATTCGCACCTTAAAACATGACTCGCCACTAAATAAATATAGTAAGTATAATAAGTATATCTTCATCTTCTATCTCCACCTCCATCTCTATCAGAAGACCTAATGGATTTAAACACCGAGAAAATAATCTCAGAATACAGAATACAGTACTCACAAAAAACAAAAACTTTAATCTAAGATTACCTTTGCAAATATCTTTTCCATCAAGCAACCTTTTTACTGCTCGAATACCTCGTATCTCAATCTCAATCGGAATCGCAATCTAAATCTCAAAATCTCAAAATCTCAAAATCTCAAAATCTCAAAAATAAAACACCAACACTAGGTACCTAATAACTAACTTCATATTTCACCAAAGGGTTTTTTTTGTTTTGCGTTTTGCGTTTTGCATCAACCCTATCCATCCATCCATCTCATTGACCACCACAATAATCCACCACAAATCAAATCAAATCAAATCCCACAGCCCTCAGTGACGATCCCACGGGGTAAGGTAAGATTACTAGGTAGGTACAGTACACTAATATTTCGCCACGCATCAGATCTTTGCCGCCTCATGGGAAACAGAAACAAAAAATTTACATGCAGGAGGTACGATACGCTTGTGAGCGAGCTGCACATGCAAGCAAGCAAGCCTTAAATTAATTAGTGTGTTTAGTAAGTTAAGTTGAGTTAAGTGCATATGCTCTCTCTATATATATGTTTAATCGTACGTGGAAGAAATAAATATATTTTGGGATTTTGGGATTTTAATAGATAGTTGGTGATTATTATTTTTTTTTAAAATGGGTGGGTATTTATATGTTACGAGGTTTGCCGTCTAGATCACGTGGAAGTGCTCTAGGCTCTCGAGGTGGTTTATAACTAGGCGTCAAGCAGGGACTTAAAGTAATGACAATAATGATATGCAATTCGTAACTAATAGTAGAGTATACTAAATGATTTATCTTGAGCACGAAGCTCTATACAAAGGAAATCCATCTAGATTATATAGACCTTCGTGCCTCGTTAAAAACCGATGGCTATAAACCCGACAATTCGATCACCGCAAAGCCGATCTCGATTTGTCGGTTTCTTGATCATGTGATCAAGAACGTGACCTATGTTACTGTCCGACGTAACATTTATATTAAAAATAATAATTTTTATTTATTAATTATTCAATAATTAATGAATTAAATTAATTGAAATTCTAATTATAAAATCATTACATAATTATAAATAAATCTTGAAATTTGAGATAACTTTTTAATAAAAATTGTTGAAACTGAGTTGTTTGGAAGTAGTAGTAATATTAGATGTAGGTTAAACTAAGGATTTAAGTTACAGTAATGGTAGAATTGAAGATATTCCCAATTATGGTCCGTGCACCATAATGGTCATATGACCTCAATTCTAGGCCCATAATGACCTTAATTTCAACAAAAATTAATAAAAATTAATTACAATTTTTTTTCAAATATCTTTATTATAGTGATTAAATAAATTAATTTATATTAAAAAATAATTTACAAAAATTTTATTAATTAAAATATTCTTATACTGAATCTTGTTAAAGTGAATGGTTCCTGCGTAGCACGTGCACAGGGCACTAGTCCTGTTAGGACTAGATTGAGAAGCTCTCTTACAGAGAGCTTCGCACTTCCGTAGAACTTAAAAGAGAGATTAACCTACTAGACCAATATTACCTCAGTTCTGCCCTATCAGCTTCCCACTATTCCCTGTGTGAGGTCATTCCTTTTAACAAATCTTTATAAAATTTAAAAATATTAATAAAAGATTTTTTATATATTTTAAAATTCAAAATTCTAATTTATTATATGTCACACTCAAGGATACTGTGTCACGATTCACCATTAGGTTTGATGGTGTTACGATGGTAGCAAACTGATTAATTAGGAGAGCTTATGTTACGACGGCTTCGGATCTCGTATCATGTGACCAATTATGTAATCACATGGTCCCTTCGATCCCCTCGGTCTCTTGATCGAAGGGACCGAGGGGACCAAGGGGACGATTAGCATGAAGGTCTATATAATCAAGATGGATTTCCTTTGTATAGAGCTTCGTGCTCAAGATCAATCATTTAGTATACTCTACTATTAGTTACGAATTGCATTATTGTCATTACTTTAAGTCCCTGCTTGACGCCTAGTTATAAACCACCTCGAGAGCCTAGAGCACTTCCACGTGATCTAGACGGCAAACCTCGTAACAGCTTCGGCCTTGTGCAAACACGATCAGATTTCATCGAATTAGTATGTGATCTTGGTCACCTGAAGATCGTATGCGCACGCACCATCAGAAATCATGTGATAAGGAGCCCTCAAAGCTCCTAGAGCTCCAGGAGCCCTGAGGAGCCAGAAAGCTCCTAGGGGCTCCCTTTATCGATCATTATATAGTCAGAGTAGTTTCATAGTTTAGGAGCTTCGTGCTCAACTTAGTTATCAATTAGTTTACCTACATTCTACTTGA